GAGAGAGAGAGAGAGAGAGAGAGAGAGAGAGAGAGAGAGAGAGAGAGAGTAGCTCAGTGTATGGGAGAGACCATTCAATGCTTGGCCCTTCCACAAAGACTACTAATGAGGCCAGAGGCGGATTAAGGTTTCACAGGGCTCTGGGCCAGAGCAAGTGGGGAGCCCCTCCCCACCCCTTCTGCCTGCAGCCCCGCCCCCATTTCTCCCCTTCCACCTGTGGACCTGCCCAAGGCCCCACCCCATTCTTCCCCTTTCCCCTGAGGCCCGCCCCCCCGTTCCACCCACAGTTCCGCCCCATTCCACCCCCCCCACTGGTGTAATGCAACCCATTTGCTCCTTTCTGCCCCCCTCCTCACTGTGGTCCCAAGACTGAAGAAGCTCTGTCTCCCCTCTCCCCAGCCACAGTCCCAGGGCCGCAGTGGGGAGTGAGAGCTCCCCCAGCCCTGAGGCCGTGGCAGGGAGCGAGAGCTCCTCCAGTCCCGGGGCCACAGCGGGGGTCTGGGCCCTGTGGCTTCCCCCACCGCACCCCACCCACCCAGTGCTCCTTCCCCCGCCCCGCCTGCTCGGCACTTCTGCTGGGGAGCGGGTTGGGGTGTCCCTTTTTATGGGCCCCCCCAATTGTCCAGGGCCCCTGGGCACGGGCTCAGTCGGCCCATTGGCTAACCCACCATTGAAGGAGGGGGGGCCAGCTAGTGGCCAGTCATGGCTGGTGGGGCTGGGGTTGAAATGCCATTTCAGCAGCTCATTAGCAAACTATGAACAATCAACCCCATCAAACCTTTCTGTAACCCAGCGAAGGGCACGGAGACCAAGCTCCCATTTACAAAGGAGACCAGCTGAAGCACACAAACCTCTACCCTGCATTGCACACAAACCTCTACCCTGCATTATTGACACACTGAAAAGGCAGGTGCCCGCGTTGGCTAGTGTGGCCCGAAAGAGAACGATTTGTTGAGTTTCCAGTACAAATGTAGCCAGGCACCCCTGTGTAAGAGAGAGCGAACCACCATGCTGTACTGATCAAAAAGCACCCGATAAGCTACAGCCTCTCTCTTGTAAATTTCATACGACTTCATTTCAGTCTAAGTGCTTTCAAGGCGATGCTGTAAATATTACAGACGTAGCTCTCTCACCAGGCCCCACCATTTTACTGTCTTGTCTCCAATAACCGAGGTGGCGTGTAAGGAATGCAATTGGAACATGTTTCCACGGGCAGAGCCGGCTTTCCTGGGCAATGCTGTCTCTCGCTTTCATCCCCATTTGAAAAGTATCTCTGACGACGGCACACGCAGCCTCCTCCATATGCAGCTCCCCAGAACCGCTCCCTTGGATTCACTAATGAGCAAGGAAATGGGCTTGCTGCTCCCACCGAAATCTACAGCCAAGATCCTTTCGGCTTCAACGGATGCAGAGTTCAGGCCCACAGGGCGTTTATATTTTTTTTTCAGGGTGCCTTTAACTGCAGGGGAAAATACTGCTAAACGTGGAGTAAATGTTGCATAAACTCATTGTAGTATTTATTCATATTCATATTGCAGTAGCACGTTGGAGCCTCAGTCACAGACCAGGGTCCCATCTGAGCTGGACACTACACAAACATAGAAGCCAAAGACGGGCCTTGTCCTCATTTTCACCATATAGTTCAATGGGTCGTATTGATGCTCTCCTTGCAATGACCTCTGACTCATGCGCTCTTACTAGCCTTAGGCACAATGTCCCATTTGACCACACCTCTTCGAAGGCCCACGCTCTTTGAAATCAATGGGTACTTTGCTAGCAACTTCAGCAGAGGCAGGATCAGGTCCCGCATGCCTTATGCTGTAACAATGAGGCGGCATGTCGTGCATCCTACTGCAGTATGAAAAGCAAAGCTCGTCGAGTGGGTGTAATTTACGAGCTATATCGTCTCAGAGGGTGCCTGCTAACAATGGCTTACACTTATGAAGGGTTTTTTACAAGAGACCATCAGAACTGCTTGACCCAGCTTAGCGGGGTAGGTCCCCCTTTTATAGCTGGGAAAACAGAAGCAGAGACATGATCTGGTTTGTACAAACTAGTGCGTCAACGGCAGCATAGGGAATAAAACCCAGGAATCCAGTATTCAAAGTTCTAGGTCACACAGCCAAGGCTGCAGCTCGTAGAGTTTTCATTTTATCCTGTTGCTATTTCCCCCCACGCCCCCAATTAACGATGGTGCATGTTTGTTTCCTTTGCACTGCCTGGTGTGCAGCTGGCATTCAGTCAGTGCTTAGGTAAGGAGAGAGAGCAGGCTACAGCCTGATACATCAACAGCAGAGATAGGCTCCTGAAAAACTGCAGGTGGAGAAAGCTAGGCAATGCCCTGCAAACTCACTGGATGGACACAGATCCATTTTGCCTTACCTCCTTCCTGAGAGCCAAATCCCGCCTCTAATCCCTTTCCCAGTGGAAAAGGCTCAAGGTACCAGATTTTGAAAGGCATCTAGGCACCTAAAGAGGCAGATAGGGACCTAGCAGGATTTTCAAAAGGCCTAAATGCCAAAAGGTTCTCCACCTAAGGTGCCCCGGTGCTTTTGAAAATCCCACTAGGCACCTATCTGCCTCTTTAGGTGCCTAAATCCCTTTAAACATCTGTCCCAAGGTGCACCCTTCCTATGGGCATGAGAAGGACCAAGTCCTGCTGAGCAGAACACTGTCCCCAAACCAAGCTCACTGCAACGTGACTCATTCCACAAGCATTTTTGGTGACATCTCTGCCCCTACCAAACTCAGCTCCGGGGGAACTTTCAGCTTCCGGCCTGCTGTGCAGTAACTTTGGTCAGCAAAAAGAACGGGAGTACATTTGCTGCTGCTAATTAGTTAAAGCACCCAGTCCCAGGGCACTGAGTTAGCTAAAAATAGCCTCTTTGCTTCAGTTGTTCTGCATTCCAGCTTAGGGACGGGTAAAAACAACCACATTAAATCAGATCTCAGGCTTAATTCATGCACTCTGTGTGAATTCTCTCATTCAAAAACGAGATGGGGATGGCATATTTGCTAGTAAATAATTTTAAGTTTTGGCAGAAATGGCCCTTAAAATGGCACCTTATTTCTTGGAGGCATCCACCTATTATCTCCTTTGTCCAATGTCCATTGAGGTCAATGGGCTTCCATGAGGCCCCAAGTCACTTTCCCCCTTATTTTTATTCATGCCGGCCACATTGTAATTTATCCAAAGAAACACATTCAGGCGTCTTTTTAGGTGGGAGAACAACCCACCTGCTGCTTGTTGGCTGATTTAGTTGGGAATTGTCCTGCTTTGAGAAGGGGGTTGGACTAGAACAGTGGTTCTCAAACTAGGGCCGCCACTTGTTCAGGGAAAGCCCCTGGCGGGCCGGGCTGGTTTGTTTACCTGCCGCGTCTGCAGGTTCGGCCGATCGCGGCTCCCACCGGCCACGGTTCGCCGCTCCAGGCCAATGAGGGCTGCGGGAAGCAGCGTGGGCCGAGGGATGTGTTGGTTGCCCTTCCTGCAGCCCCCATTGGCCTGGAGCGGCGAACCACGGCCAGTGGGAGCTGCGATTGGCCGAACCTACGGACACGGCAG